ATTAATTATGTAACACTACATTACGTATGTAGCTTGTCAGAGGGAAACTAATTATTGCTGCATTACAATGGAATGTGAAGTTCGTTGAAAAAAATTATAAAAATTAATAATTTATATTATAAATATATTATTTATTATAAGCCTGTTGTTTATAACCTGTCATTATAGCGTTTCATTGCCTGTTATTGCTTGCCATATTTATAGCTTGTATTTATAGCCTGTTATTTTTAGTCTTTCATTGCCTGTATTGATTGTTTTTTGTCTGCATTGCCTGTTATTATTGTCTGTAGTTTTTCTTTGAATATCATACTTACCCAAAGTTTTTTTTCAAGTTCGGTTTTGTTTGTTATTAATTGCATTACTAATGTAGTGTCGTTTTTAATTATGCCATCTTGTAATTGATTATGAACTATGTATTGATTATAACTACCATTGTATGAATGAATAATAATAATTGTAATAACAAATTGTAATAATTGTAATAACAAATTGTAATAATAATAATTGTATGAACGGTGTTACCGTGAATAAATAAATAAATAAAATTAATTATATGCAAACACATGTAAATTAATTTACCGATGCTGTTCCACAAGTAAAATATTCAAATTAATATTTTAGGACGTATACAATTGATTTTTCTTATGTATTTCTAAGTTCAGCTTTAAATCCCAACACTGATTCCAAAAAGTTTTTTAGTTTATGTGTAAACAACTTTTAAATCAGAAATTTACATCAAAGTACTTATAAAAGTAACAAAGTCTATTTTACCTACGACCGTTTTTTTAAAGTAGCCGTTCCAATACAGTTCTTAGAATTGAAAAGTATCTCATGACAGCATTGTTTACTTTCATAACAGCATAGTTTTACTCACAACAACACGGGTAACGGACCAATGAGGTTCAAGAATTGAGAGAGGAGAAGCAAAATTGTAATGATTCGAAATTTTATCTAATCAGCTGTTCAGGCCAATTTAATTGTTGATTGGTGCAATTAGTTTTTAATACAATGTTTCGTTGCATCACCGTCAGTAGCAATAAGAGGTTGTAAACAAAAACATAACCTCTCTTAGAAGTTATGAGTAGTGATTTTTAGTAATTAAAACACCGTCGTAGGTAAAGTAGTGTACGCAACTCGCGTAAATAGTGTTAACGACACTCGTAGAAGGTTTTAAGGCACTCGCCAAGGCTCGTACCTTAGATTTTCTACTCGTGTCGTTAACACTATCTTTACGCAATCGTTGCGTAAACTACTATTCATATCCTCTGATGTGTGTTTGTCTCATTATTTAGAAATATTATTCTCCAACATGTTGACATATGTATACGCACATGTATTTTCCCTGTTGTTGTTATTATTCTAATTACATTAGATTCAGCCATTAATTGAAATTTGTATAGTAACTTAACATATTAGTATTTGATAGTCAGTTTGTATTGCAAGATTGATATTCTAGTTATGCCAAATAAGTATTTTGTTTTATAATTTGTTTTATATTGGAAAAACTATAAATTAATACGACGCAATACAACGAATAATGGTGAAACTATACAATAAATATTAATCCATGACACAAACTCACTGCTAATTAATCATAATTAATCATTATGTAAATGAATTTACATTGAATAAATAATTATACAATTACACGGTAGAATATTATTATTTTTTTTACTCGTTTAAAAGGCATCAAGGGTGTTGGTTTGGAAATGAAAATAAAATATAGAATATAAACGGATTTTTGTTTGACTTTTTTAGAGAAGTAAATAACCTTTGTTGTTAGGTATGATATGAATTTTAATGATTTTTATTTTTTACACCTCAAACACGGGCCAAATCGGTACCTTCGGTTACTTATAATTACCCAGTTTTTCTCGGGCTGCATGTATTTTGGACTGGAATAATAATCTTTTCTCATATATTTATTACTTATCTTACTTTGGTCGTTATTAGGTAAGTTTACATTGAAAAAAAAAAATAATAACAAGAAGACTTCCACACATTAAAGCTTTTTTATAACTAGTGACATTAAAAACTATCATTACAACTTCAATCTACTATCTACGATTTTAACCCATCGAAAGATAGCAAAACGGTATTTCATGTATAGGTTTTGCCTCGTTGGTAACACTGAAGAATCTATACTTATTTAATACGCAAGCAGGGTTTTTGTGACAATTACTCCTCCGAAACTACTGAACCGATTGTCATGTTTTTGGTGTCATTGGAAAGAGCGTAGCGTGAAGTTGTGCAGGAAACTTTCTTTTTATGGAAATAATGAGAGAGTGAGGCCTTGGAGCCCTTTAAAGTTTCGTATTTCTCCATAAGCTTAACATTGGAAACAAAAATTGTTATGATACTCCAGCTGTTGTCAGAAATCAAAAGTGAGAAGAAGAGCATAGGTTAATCCTAAACAGTCAATAAGTTTGCTAATATAGTATTATAACAGTTTGCTACAAATATTTACTTAGCTATTGCTCGAATTCGAGCAACAGGGACACTAGTAAAGATATAAAGAAGGATCAGTTGAGTTGAGCTGAAGTCGAGTGAAAAGAATAAATGGGAAGAAAAGTGTAGATTTACCTGTCTTCGTCAAAATGTATCTAAAACGTGCGTATCTTAAAAAAAATTGCATAGTTAAAAGAGGTTACTAAAGCGTATAATCACATATTGGCCATATATTTTACATCCACACATTTTAAATAATAACACCTAAATTGATGCAGAATTCTACCAAAATTAGTTTAACATTTGTAATTCTATTGTTAAGGACCAATTTGATTCCAAACTGGAAATATCAATTCCCTAATTATCATCCAAACAAAGGAAACTACCGACTAATAATAGATGATCATACTAAACGTTCTATTTATACTGCGTTATCAGAGATTTAAAATTTATTCATAGTTTGGTTGAATTTGGAAAGGACTTTGTGTCAGTTCTAAAATGCTCATATAACTTTAAATTTAATTTTAGCTTTTGACAGAGTCGGATGATCCTTGTCAATGTCCTTATAAACTGCTACTGTAGTTTTTTAAACGCTTTAGCCATTTTTTATGATATTTTCAAAAGATGTTGGGTTAAAAAAATTAAATGTCCATTGACCATAACAAGTGTGTCTTAAGATATAACTTTGCTAAAAAACAACCAGGAGATTGTAGAACTCACTCATACTCATCACTGTTGCCTAAACAGTCAACGAAGTAACGACAACATCAAATTAATAATAGTTCACTCCTGTACGTCAATGGCATTGAATTGATTTGCTGGCACTGGTAACAAATAAATCTTTCGTACACGACTACCTCCATTTACCCAATGGATAGCTGTATATTTACCCTAAACGCCAGGAGAGATAGATATAGTGTGGCATTTGTGAGGCAAAGCAGATATTGAGCCTAGACTTATTGTGTGGCGTGACATGTTATGGACCTCCATCACACAGTGAAAGAGATAACTTACATGCAAAACCTGCAGCCGCGGGTGTTTAGCAATGATGTGGCGAGATCTCCAATTTACCTTATTCTTTGGGGGGGGGATTTATAATGAAATAACTAAGTATCGTTGGTATTTTACTATATTTATCGTAATAAGTTAGAATGTTAGTGCCTTTTAGAATGGAAAATGTAGTTGTATCCATCCACAGTCATAAAATGAGTATACAAATAAAACAAAAAACTGGCTTGGTCAACTTTAAGGTTTCACATAAAGTTAGGTTTAGGTTAACCATTACCAAAAAACGGTTTTATAAAATAACAATAAGCGTTCTGAAATCACCTACAAATTTGATATTATGTTTTAAACCACGTTCTTATCCGATGGGTGAATAATATTTTTTTCAATGTTCTACCTTCACATCCTAGGACGCAAGTTTAAGCCCGGAACAGTTTTTCACATTACTTCATAGTGAGTCATGGCATTGTCCTAGAGTTCAAACATTCTTTTAAATTACAACTGTCGTTATGACGTTCAAATATATTGCCACTCAAGCGGAGATACATAAATTAAAACGAAAATTAACTCTCTGGACACGAATGTAAGTTAGTTCACAAATATATTTTTTGAAAATTTTAAGTTTTTATTTTTTTAAGGTACAAAGTAATTTAACTTAATAGTTTAATTCCTCCAATCAATTCCTTAAATATGTAAAGGAAAAAGCCTTCCCAAAGTTGTATAATTTTTAAAACACTTTCCAAAAACTGCAAGTAAAGCAGTATATAACAATTTGAAAATATGAAACCTTGAGTCTGCCTCTGGATTAAAGCGAAAAAGGAAAGTTTAACTTCTCCCAATATTTGCCTAACTTATGGAATACTTTATGAGCTCTTATCCAATGTATTATCGTCGAGTTAGAAACTCCAGTCGCTTAACAAGCTTCTTTAAGTTGGTATGATTCGTAATTGAGCTAATTCACGATTAATTACAAAGTTTATTGAAAATACTGGAAATGCTTAACATTTTTTTTTAAACAATTTACTTCCAATTCCAAGCGAATCCGTTGTACGTGTTGTTATTTCACTAGAACACATTGTTTTAACGTAATTATATGTCTATCTACAAATAACAGAGAAGATTTTCTGTAGAAACAGGTTTGAAAGAATCTGTTGCTGCGAGTATGGAGGGGTACGAAGTCCATATTATGGTAGTGAGAATAGCTTTGCGTGTTATGTCAGTATTCTACTTCTGCCAGTTCAATTTTAATGTATATAGTAAAATAGCTCTTTTTGAATGTGATTCTGCTATATAGGAGACATAAGACCTTTTGATGGTTACTATAAAATGCATGTAGTGGCACCCAGCTTTCATCTCATGTGTTCGTTTAGCTTCATTGTTTATTTGCAGAGTTTTAGCGTACCATTTTTGACTATTCTACACTATTCTCAAACCTAAGCGATTTAGTATCGTATTGAAGTGTTTTTTTTTTTCAGAACGATCTGTAATCATGCAAAATATTATTTATCTATTTACTGTAACAGTGTAAATAAATAAGATGACATTACCTAATAAACTCGTTCCAGGATCACACCTGAAAAATAAACAAATCATTAAAATGTACTCAGTTAAATTCAACGGACCATTCAATTTGCCATGTATATTTTGATACTCAATTTAATTACAAATCTGGGACAGAATAAATGTTTGTTTAATTGAAAATGTTGAAACAACTAATATTACCGTGTTCAACGTAGTGGAGTCAACTAATTAGTTAAATGAAGAGTGCTTGAATCTTTTAACTCTGACACTTTTAACCAATTGACATGTTTATTTTTGAAAATATTCTAAGAATTTATATTTTTAGTTCATGGGAAAATATGCCTAGATGTTGTATGCTAAATGTTGAATTAATGGCATACTATAAGTATTCGAATATTTTTCATGTGTATTTTGGTAAATATATAAGTATTGCAGCTTATATCTTTTTACAGTTATGACGATGTCAAACATTACCAACTTGTTCAGAGACTGATTAAATTACTATTCATTGGCTATTCTATGTCCAACAGCTCTTGATTAAACAAAACTCTTAAAAACCGTTATATATTTTATTTTGATTCAAGTTTGATTCGAGTAAGTTGTGCTGTTGAAATAAGTAACGGGTGGTTGATGTATCGTGTTTCAGGTCCGATTCCAGCAATGGCTGTGCTATCTTTAAATAGTTAAATATTTTGGATTAGACTATGAAGAAAAAAGCTATCATATAAACTAATAAGGTGTATTGTGTATAAGGTTTTAATGACACTTAAAATTCTGACTAAGTAAACCTTTTAAGGGAAACACTTAATATTTACTTCAAAAAGAAAAGTATTACATATTTATATATTGTTTTATGATACGTTTTTCTCCTAAATCAGAGTTTATAAAATTATGCATGGTAACCATTTGTTTTCGTTGTTTTATGTAATTTTGGGAAGACTAAGATAGGCAGATCAATGTAAAACTATATTTTTTTAGCTATATTTAAAGAATTGACATTTAATGTGAATCGCCAGATTTAACTACTAGGAATGTTATGTACCTATTATTTATAAGTGATATTAGGACACCTTCATGTATATATACACATTCTGAATACATTATTAGTGCCATGGGGGCTAAACAACACAAGTTAATTAACTAACTCAAACAATATCTCGACGGTTTCATTATGTGGGGTTTGAAGTGACATCTTGGTTTTATCATGTTATATTGCATAACTTGTTAACTATATATTATCTGCCTAGTATATATTACACTTGTGTCTCCTACTCGTATACGCTTATGATTCTACTTTAGTAAGTAGCTTAATTGCTACTTGGTTCTCAAACAAAAAATGGGGGACTTTGGGGGAAACTCAAACATTTTTAACGTTAAGCCCCATCCAGTGACCCTTCATTTTGAGGCTCAAACAGTACTTCATAACATGCCATAAAGGTTTGTAGAGTTTAGTTTTCCTAGTGTGAGCCATTACAAAATTTACAGGGGGTCTCCAGACTCGGAAAGCCGTAAGTTAAATTTAATTTCTGAGAACTTCAATTGGCTGCCATCTTTTACTGGATTAAGATAGAGACCTCTAGTTTGCGTTGTTGGTTTTCTTTTACCAGGACTTTTAAAATGAGGTCTTACTATTTGGAATTTTTCAGTTGTCCCCCAAAATCCCCCATTTGGGGGATGTACACCAAGTGGCAATTATGCCCGAAAAGTACTTCATAACATGCCATAAAGGTGTGCCAAGTTTATTTTTTCTAGTATGGGCCGTTAATAGATTAACAGGGGGTCTCCAGACTTTTACTAACCCTTATAGTTTGTTCATGTATGTATAAAAACCATTTGTGCGTATTTTTGTAAACACCATAGAATTTTTTCATTAAACAGTCCCCTGTTCTATTGAGATTTAATGCTGGTATTTTTTTTTCTAGATAGCACCAACTATTAACTATCCAATGACTAAAAGTAGTGTCTAGGCGCATAATCGATACAAAAATAATACACAGGGAAGTGTATACATCTCTAACCACAACAAACGTATATAAGGTATAATTTAATTTGAGATGTAAAATATAATTACTTTCGGGAACCTCAGGTTGAATTTTCCACGAAATATAACATGTGTGAGTTACGTCAGGCACTGCACTTCCTGTTTCCGTCAGTTCGCCCCATGTCACCTCAAGTATTATAACTACCTTTCAATGTGTGTAGTTTACATTGTACCATCCAAGCCAGAGTGGTGAGGCGATGGAGAGCTTATTGATACATCGTGACGGTTAATAAAATGTCAAAAGTAAGTAAGTCTATCTATATCTCACTTATTCGTTAACTGTAGTAAATTTGTTGTTAAGAATGTTTATAACGAGAGCCTCAAGGTAGGCATAGGGATAAGCTAATGTAGATAATACCATGGACAAATCTAAAAAAGAAACAATAGAACAGAGTAATACTGTTTTCAGTGGTTTTAAAGGTTTTCTAATTATTTACTTAGTATCGTATTTACCTATTCCAGCATAATTAAAATGTGGTATTGACAATTTGTAATTACCCATCAACAATAATTAATACGTATTTTAAATACGTGTTAAGTCTCAATTGTGTGCAATCAATTAAGTGTCAACATCAAACTATTTGATCCAACTATCACAGTGGTATTAAGAAAGTGTTAAGCACTTTAAGTTAAAAATTTTCTTTTTATACAGATTTATTGTTTGGGAGAAACCTCTATCAAACTTGGGACTTGTTTTACGTTGCAATGTCCCTTTCAAAATGGTTTATAATAAATATTTTATTGTTGCCAAAAATTCATTTTATAACATTTCGATACAAAAGATCCTAAAAATATTGTAAAAGAAAACTATTTCAAATATATGTAGCTAAATTAAAAGGCTGATAAAAAGGGATATATTTTAGGAACCTTTTTATACCAAAGTGTCGGCATAACTAGTCTTATAATACAGGCCTACGTTAAGATCAGCAACAGATATTTTCCTTAAAGTTCTAGATGATTTAACAGTGCTTGAAAACACAAATATCAAAGCATTGTAACATGAATAAGTTAAGGTTAAAACTGTATTAATGCATTTTACAGGTTCTTTTTTAAGGGAATTTAATTCACTTAAATAATGTAATCGTTTAATTTAAAGGGGCGGTAAAATTATTATTTCTTATTGCTCTCATTATATTTTTTTCTTTGGAAGCGGCTAGTTTAGTGGCTTGAAACAAGGGGGTTCGGTCCTGAAGTCCTGGGCTCAAATCATGCGATTGGACAACTCTGCCTTTTTTTACACTGTGACTTTTTTCAAAGGCCAATATAGTTATCCTATAGAACGAAAAGTAAAAGTAACAGATGATAAGGAAAGTTTATGTCAAAATACTATCCAGGGTTGGTATAAAACGCCTAATTTGTTTAACATTTTGAACATTAGAATACATTCTAATATGGATTTATTGTTCCACTTAACCTGGTTCTTAAAGACGGAGTGAGGGTGAGAAGGCAGTAAATAAATAAACGTCAAGCCTGGCCAGCGCTGGACTGAGCTCAATTAGTTTGCTGCTGCAAGCACTTTAGCTGGAAGCCGATTAGTCTCCGTTGCTGTTTCGATTTTCTGACGTTCAACAATCGAGTTTTTATCAAAGATTAAATGGTCACCAAAATTCAAACATAATATATAAATTATTAGTTTAAAAATGGATGTATTGTTAACACTAGTCGAGCAGTTGAATGGAGAGTAAGTGAAAGCTAGTACAATAATAAAATTTGCATCCTATATTATTAAGATAAGAGCTTTTGTCTGGTTCAAAACAGAAAACTAAAAATCTTGGATTGGAGATAATAGTACATTAAATTAAATTTATCGATCTTCAAAAGGAATTTTACTATAAATTTATGCATATATATTCATTCAATGCGTCAAAGCTTATTGCATACATAATACAGTATATACAATACACGTAACATAAAAAATGTATATTATTTAAGCAGTATTTTGAATTTATGTTGTTTAGGTTCAATAAGATGTTAGGGTGTAGGCCTACTTGTTTGAGAAGAAACCTCAAACACATTACAGCCTTCATTTGCCACAAACATATTTCAACAGCAAATGAATACATTTCAATTTTCCTATGTGAATTAGATATTTTAATTCCATCTGACACAGTTTTTAAGACAAGCTTTAAAATTAGGAAGACCCCCATCGCAATATTCGGATAGTATTGCTAATTGCTTTAATGTACACCCTTGAACATAACGTTTATTTTTCTTTACAATAATTTAGGTGTGGTTGTATAATATTACATGTGAAAAAATATGTTGAACATTTAAAATGTACATATATTTCGAATTAAACATGTCAATACTCTTGCATTCGTTCTTGATAAATCACATTGAGCTAACCTGTAAACAATACAGAACTCCGTGTAAACGTTGAAACAGTTAATTTACCTTAATGATCTTTTATTTAACCAGCACTTTGGTTGTAAGAATTCATAAGATAAACAAAACAGATATTAATAAATATAAACAAATTGGCATTTACGAGACATTGAAAGCCAAAAGTGTATCTCGCTTACTATAAAATAATTAAAAATATTACAGTAAAATATATCTATAAAATGATTACTTACTATCCAATTAGCCTTTGGTGGTCAATATTTTATTATATTATTTAATTTGTTAAACATTACAATTTTTTAAGCGTTCAAGCAAAATGGATTGTCGTTACATTTCATTCCTAGCTTATCATCACCTATGATGCATGCTTTCCTAGTATACCAGAGTTTCAGGTAATCGACATTGTTTCTACTAACATGTCACTCACAGGATATGCCATGCCCGCAGGGGAATCATTTGCAATTGACATGTCTTCAAGACTGTTGTGTTGAGAATTATTTGAGGTTAAATAGAAAATTACAATGAAAATACTAAGCGTTATCCAAACCTAAGCATTATTCAAAAATACTAGAACTTCCAAATCTTTTCCAAACAATGAAAACTTCCAAAACTTTCTCTTGATAGTAATACAGAAGATAAACTCTGTGTCTCTTGTGACAGCCTCTTTA